GGGTCCATAAGATTGATTTAATCAATTATTTGAGGTTTCTGAGGTGCGTCCACCCCGTCACTTAACTTGCTAAAGCAAGAGCAACTCCAGCTAGCTAAGGCTAGCTTTCGTGACAAGAGTCATACATCAAGTTGGCCAAGAGTCATATCCGCATTCAAACAATATCCGCCCAATCAGAACCTACATGTAAAACAGAATCAAAGCGCCAAACATGCATGGTCACCCAGCAATACACCACAGACTCCCCAACTCCCTTTGGCACGGAGCAAACGGGGGGGGGTGCCTCTTCTTCTGCATCAGCATAGAGCTGTGCCACTTGTCTCACCGCCTACGCTGGATCGATTGGGATTGGCTGCGGACTGGTCATCAGGTCTCCGATGTCTGCATATACACTTGCGATTTGGGGGAGCTAATCAAATCTCTACAGGAAAACGTGAGGGACGGATTGAAACGCTAAACCATCAGGAAACAAAACGCCATGTCTCCACCATAAATGGTCATGTCTTTCTGCTCGCATACTGTATGGTCTTTCTCCTCGCATATGTAATAATTATGATATCAAAGCCAAACATGTGCTTCTCCTGCAAGATCTTTATGACATCTACTAGGGCAAATAAATGACCCTGTGGTTAGTGGTCACACATACAGTTCACCCAGTGTGTTGCCCCTTAATCCTTAATTAATCCCTGAATCTTTCTAAACACCTCTGATTGGTTCCCGCCTTTGTTGGTCACCCTGAATTGAAACAGGTTTTGCTGTTTGAGTTGCAAGTGTAAATTGGTGATCTGCGGGCAACTTTTCTCCAAAAACACACTGCTTGAGAAATCTGATTGTCCTTGTTCTTTAGAACTCTGGCAAGCCAGAAACTGAAAGTTGAGAGCAAATATTGAGCAAATAATGAATACATTATGGTGATTTGAGGATTGCTGGTTGCTGCGGCGGCAATCAACACATATCATATACCTTATGTTTTTGTTGAGCAGCAGAAGACCTTGTTTGTTAGATCCCCAACTAACTTCTATGAAAGTTAAGGACCCCCCAAAAAAAATACAAAAACAAAACAAATAGCATGATGAAAGGACGACACCGCGACCGCCGGACTGTCAGTGTTGCAGAATCAGGGCTCTTCTTCATACAGCAAGATGGTCGACTAATTACCATTAATTGGTTGGATTGCCTATTTTGTCCTTCCAACACTTTCTTCATCCACCTTTCACAAACCAGCTTTGCCCAGTTGGTTTGCCAACCTCCCCAGATCCCTCGCCTTCCGCGTGCGGCAGCGCTCCTCGGTACAAAGCTCCTCGACCGCCAACAGGGCGGCGACACGCACCTGGCTCAGCTGACGCGCAGCTTCACCCTATTGAGCAAGGAGAATTCACCCTCAGGTTGCAGCTTCTGAAGTATCAACTCGTGGCCTTGAACATTCTACTGTTGGATTTCGACATATCGCAGAAGTGAAATAACTTTGGTACATTTGGAACAACGGTAAAAAAAACAGTTGTCCTGAGTGAAATTTAAATTAGATTCTATTTATCTCACGAGCGACTGACGTGCAAATCATCTGCCGTGCCATTAATTCCGACCGCACTGAACCACAGTCGAATCAAAACACTCCATGCCATTCCAAAGCCTTCTCCGTAGATAACCGACCTGCATACATCACTCTATAATCTGGATGTTGGTGGTCTTGCATTGTTCTACATTCTGCTCACGTTTCTCATCCACAACGGCCGCTCCCTGGACGCGGCGCTTCCGCTTCGGACTTTTGACTGGCAGCTGCAGGTTGCGGCCATGGAGGACAGGAACCTGATGGCACTGGGTGTGGTTGCTGGGAAGGTTCCGTGTGGGTCGGTGACATGCTTAACTTCTCTTGTGAAGCCAATGCCTGGTGGCGAATTATGCGCGCTCTACGGGTCAAAGGGTGGCTGGTTGACACCAAAATGAACAGAATCCTCTACCAGGATCTACCAGGCATGTCTACCCATTCTGACACTGGTTTGACTTGAGGGGTTGTAATGTTGGATCTTGATTAGTAAAGGGGGTCCTCCCTCCCAAACAAAATTGGGGGCCATCATAATCATATACACCTAGAACCTGGGAGGAATCCTCCAAAACTCTGCAAAATCTTGCTTGGTTGCCGCCTTGAGATCACGATAAAGAGGGCGACAACCACCACAACGAGAAAGCTCAAGGAGTGGTCGTTCAGTCTAAATCCACACCAAACCAATGTTTCAAGCACTGGTTAAAATTTCAGCTACTAAGTTAGTACTGCAGTCAGTACAAAATTTTGGCTGCCCAAAGAATCTGACCGCCAGATCCTGCCAAAGGACTTTGCCGAGCTCCATGGAGCAGTGCTCTACCCACGTCCGCCAGGCGAGGCCTTGCAAACAGTGTGGCCAGCGACGAAAAGTACGATTGGACCCTTACAAATTATTGTTCCAGGATGTTCCAGGGAATGTGTTGGGTACGTCTTCTTTTGGCATTTCAGGTGGCTAGTGCTACTGGTATTTTTTGCTGAGAAGGGTGAAGGTGAAGCAATCATTGTCCTCCCTCCCAACTGCCCAGCGCCCAGCGAGCTTTTCAATCAGTCCCTCCAAAGCCTCGCAATAGATCTGGGTGAATGAATGGAAACTTCCAGGTTTTCCAAGAACTTCTCCAGAAGCGACCCAGCTGCTATGGTTCCCTCGCATCTTGCTTACACCTATCCTCAGGTCCTTGCTCGCATACCAAACTGTTCTGCACCCCTCAACTTTTGTGCAAACATCCCCGACTCGCGGCACATGGCGTCTAGCCTTCGGTTTGGCCTTCGCCTTCGGTTTGGAGCTCCCATCGCCTTGGACTCGCGGGTCTCGCCACTGAAAACGGTGAGCTCCTGGTAGAACGAGACCCCCTGTCTTAGATAGAAAAGTAGATCCTGATCAACACCCACTAAAGAATGTATTGGAAACCGTGCCACTATCTATTTGGGCACCATTCCCCCAGAATCCAGGCCCCAGAAACCCATGGCCATTCGGGGGTGGAAAAACGGGGGTCTCAGGTGCCAAGGGGTGGCATGCAGGGTCCCAGGAATCTTCGAGTTGTAGCTTTATCTCATTTGGAGACCTGCAACTCAGCTTCCTGTTCGACCTGGTTGCTCTAAGCAAGACACACCATTTTGACACCCATGGACGAACTGATTCAAGTGTATTTTTTCGGGGGCGAACACAAAAGTAATCGAACATATCGACATCGACACCTGGTTTCCCTACAATTTCCAGAACTGGCTGGGACATGTCCGAACACTGCACAACACATGTTCCATCATGTTCCTCTCATTTGCATCCAACAGCATACTATGCTGGTCCCCTGAACCATCCGAATTCCCACGTCGAGGTGCGTGGACACACTCCTCCCCATTCCTCACAAGGCCAAGCAGCTTGAGCTGTAGCTTGAGCTCGAACCTGCCAAGCTCAGCTTGGCTTGGGGTTTTCGGGATCGCACGGGATGTATATATAGCTGATGTACTGATATATATATATAATATATATATATATAGCCTTGGAGGGATCGGGTGATGGAATTGAATTCATGACTTGATCGAGTGATGGCGCGAGTTTCGTTCCGGCGCATGCGGCAGTTGTGTCTTGCAAGAAGAACTTGTATGTTGGAGTGTCTCCTCGTGAAGCTCCCAAGATTCCCCCCCAAAAAACGGCACATATCATTATAGATAAACATGAACAAGCAAAGGCATAAGTTGGCAGCATCCTCGTTTCAAGCAAGGATTCCACGACACTACACATGAACTAATAGTCCTCCCTGTCACTCTGCAAAGCAGCTGGGCACCCAAGCTGTAGTCGCCTCGATCGCGAAACAGACTGGCCCATAGTCCCAAGAAGTTGTACTTTATGGGGGACCCGTTCAATCGCTGGATTGTTTTCCCCTGCTTTCAGGGCAACTATGTTTCACAAAAACAGATCGCATGATTTATTTGGCAAGGTGTCCCCTCAAACTATATATACATAAGAGACTCAAATTCAATCAGGTTAAACACGTTACTAAACATCTTAGTGGCACTCACACGCGCTTCTGACAGGAAACCCTGTTGGATATTTCTGAACACCATGATTTTCATGTTCACCAGCTCTGTTCCGATGGTTTCCGTAGATGGAGTCATTCAAAGCCCTTGCGCTACTATTGGTCAACACCCCAAACAGCATCAGACTATATAACTCCAGGGGGATTGGCACAGTATTGGGTGCTTATCAACACACACTCAACATCTTGAGACAGTTCCGCGGAAAAAGACAACACCACCTGAGCGCTACCTATTTTGGAGTTTGCCGTGGTTTACATGTCCTGCCATCGAGAAATCAACCCTTCCAACACCTCCAAGCTTCACCCCTCAAGCCAAAATGCTGCCACTACTGGATGATCTGCTGGAAGAGCGGCTACTAGTCTTGCTGGTCGCGGCGCTGCCTAGCAGGCTAGTCGGCGCCAGTCTGGATCACCCGGTCCCCGGGTCAACTGACCTGCATCCCATGCTTGAAATAACACCTGTAGTTGATGTGGTAAGCCCTTGAAAACGCCCACGAATTGGGATTTGCTTAAGGAACCTGGAAAAAGACACAAATAGATTCACCAAGTCACCAGAAAGGGGAATTGATCCACATAGTAGGGAAAATTCACCTATACTAAGATCTCCTCAGCAAGATGTTCCAAAACCTCATCGCAGCCACCGTTTCGCAGCACCCTTTCACCCGAGTGCTGCGGACCAGCGGCTCTTGCTGGTCCGCCGGCTGCTACGAGTGCTGCTACGCTTTGGCCCGGTCCTGAGAGCTGATCATCAGTGACGGGGTCTCCCCCCTGGCCCTGGCGGAGTAGACTGGTCTATTTTCCGAAGCTTTGCAGGGCGTCTTTGAGAGGTCTCCGTGTTTTAATGCACCCAAATGAAGTGGCGAATTCAACAAACTACAATAACTACAAAGAGATCCACAGAAAGACATGGACTGTCCAAAAGAGACTGCTCTTGATTGAGCATGTTTGAGTTATTTTTCTTGCAAAGGCCTGGGTCAAGCAGTATGGATGCACCCTGTGTTAAAGCAAAAACGGGTGGCTTTCAAAATACATTACACAAAAAAACAAAGCATCACATGCTATATATCCGCCGACCCCTGCTTAGCCCTTGCCTAAGCGGGGCGGCGCCAGGGACACCGGAGGGTGGAACGGGTGGCAGTGCAAACGAAAGCCCCAGCATGCCACGTTAAGCAGCCACCCCCGCCTTCAAAGCCCTACTGCGTCGGCATCTCCTCGGCAGCCGGCAGGCCTGCTCTCTGTGGCCTGTCCGAAGCCTGCCTCTTCTCTTCGCCCACGGGCCCCGCCCGCAAACGTTCCTGCAGGCCGCAGCTTGGCCCAGAAAGCTTTTTCTATGGGCTTCCGAAGGC